TTATTAAAATGTGGTAATTATATTTAAATATTGTCTATTACCAGTAATTAAGAAAGATTTGTACTATATTTTACAATTAGTAAAAAATATAATTGACTGGTAGAAAAGTAGTATCGTTTACTCTATAATATATTATTAAAATGTGGTAATTATATTTAAATATTGTCTATTACCAGTAATTAAGAAAGATTTGTACTATATTTTACAATATATTTCCTAGTAAAAATATAATTTTTTTGACCAGTGAAGAAAAGTAGCCTACTTGAAAATTATAACGTATTCAATGTTATACTTTGAAAAAGTGGCGAAGGAAAAAAATCCGAATTCGGGAAACAAGAGAGTTGACGTGTAACACTGGTAAAAAGTGGTATTTTTTTACTAGATAATATATAATTAAAATATGGTAAATACAGTATATTACCCAGCAATTAAGTAAAGATTTGTACTATATTTTACAATATATTTCCTAATTAAAATATAATTTTTTGACCAGTGTAATTTGATTGAATTCGATTTCTCTAACATAACCACTACGGGTAGTGTTATTATTGGTCAGTCTTTGGACATGATTTTGGACATTTTGGCAAAAAAATAACTTGTATCGGTATTTATTCAAAATTTTATTAAGATAACCTATTTAAATTTTCTACTTTAGAATTAAACGAAGAATAAAATAATATATATTTATTTATTTATTTACTAAAATACTGTATTTAAGACTATAGACAGCTTGGACACAGAATACTTGGGCTTTGGACGTTGGACATGCCCAAAGAAGCTTTGGACATATAAAAACGTACAACACTGACTACGGGTATTACAGCATTGCAGCATTGCGACATTACGGCATATGGTATTCAGGTGCTTTGCCGTATGCATTTACGGCATTTGCCGTAATTTAATAATTACGGCAGCAACTATAATTGCACTTCATTTTAAAGAAATCACTTAATCTAAAATGACTATAATCCATTTGGCGTGATCACGTGATATTTGAAATTTTTTGGGTGACAATTTACCCTGGTTCTGTAAACCCCTACATATTTAATGCAATTTTGACGCACCAACATGTTGGTCAGCTGTTAAAGATCGATAAGAATCTCTGCTGTGGAATATACCGTCTCACCTAAATAATCACGTGTTATAATTTTAAGTAAGGGATCTCTGGCGCGTTTTAAATAGGCAGATTGTCATGCATGCATGACAATAAGGAAAAATGCACAGTAAGTTACGTACGTAGTACGTACACAAAAAAACATTAACAATCACATGATAGTTTTTGTTCCGGTGACAACGATATAACAATAGCAATACAACAATTAGACATATTTAGCTTGAAGTTTTGGTTAAGACATTGAGATGAAAGATTTGAACCGAATTAAGATTACATTACATTCGGTTATATTATTAAGCGTGTACTTATTCGTGGTAAAAAATTCTGATACATATTGATGTGTTACTGTATAATTTTGTACATGCAATTTTTGCGTAATCAAAAATATGTAGTTAATATGACTAAAATTGATATTTAAGCCCCTTTCCGCCGTGTCTCACCCAAACGATAATATATTCGTCATATTCTATTTTTATTAAAACGAGAAAGCTCGTGAAAATATTATGAACATATACTAAAACAACAGTGGCTTTATGATAAAGCAGATTACTAATTTCTCGTTTTTATCAGTTACGCAGTCTTGAGACCAACAATAAGTCAGAACCAACACCATAATAAGTCTTTAACAAGCGATTAACCAAACTTATCCATATGTTCGTGATTGTGATTAGTGAGTTGATATTTTATCATCCAATTTATTTATGGAGGTAAAAAAAATAAGGTAGTACTTGTTATCAGATAATATTAACAGACAAATCGCCACAAGTTATATGCATAACGTTCACCATCGTACAGTAATATATACGGAAAAAAAATTTTTGTATTACACTGATTACACGAATACTTTTGGTACGCGTTGCCATTTTTTAAGGTAATGTAATTATTTTAAATTTATACCAATCAGATGCGCGCTAAAATATTTGTAAGTTTGTGCATCATTTTTCGCACTATTAAGTTTGGTGTAAATTATATAATCACTATGACGCGAACTCTTTGAGGAATTAGGGGTACAATGGTTTACACTTGTCGTATTACATTTTAATGAAAATATTTACACTCTATTTAACCATAATACGCATGCAACAAAAAATAAAGGAAATTTACGTTACAACATCTCCTGAAATGATTTATATACAGAGTTTAGTTAAAAATAAAATTTTTTTTTCGAAAATTATTCGGATATTTTGTTATATCAGATTTAGACTATACGATTTATATGAAGGCATTATTTTTACACAAGTTACGTGCTTATTATAAGATCGCTTTAAAAAATAAGGTTTGAAATTTGTCCGAACAACTGGTTAAAATATATCACAACATTAATAAGGGATATTGTGAAACCTTACACGCAATAAAGATAACCAAAAAAATAAAATATTCATTCATCAAAGAAAGTTTCTTAAACCTGCATGTAATTGCTTTCGTCTTTTCGAAGTGCCCGTGGTAAGTTCTTTTAATTTGAAATAAAGCGGATAAATGGAATTAAGGAAAATTTTAATAATTAAGTGCGAAATTCGATTAATAAAGGTGAAAACCAATTGTCAACTTCATTGCAAGGCAGATCAACATTTAACGTAAAGGGTTTATTCCATTATATCTAAAGTCCAACTATCTAACCATTATCTTTAATACCTAATTCTTTTAGTACTCTCATTCCACGGAATTCGACTTCACAATGCCGATTATTGATATAAATGACACTGATATTTACATCATTTGTAACGACGACATTGAGCTTATAATGTTAATTATCTCAAGTTTACGTGACAAAGGCGCAGGCCGAGTCCATCTTTTAGTTTCTGATAGCCAAGCCCAAGTAAGTCAAAGCAAACAAACAAATCATCACCAGAATTATTCCATCAATCAATTCAATTTCTCTCCTATGCTTATCCAAAATATTTTCAATCATTCAAGAGTATTAATGAAAGCTATGGAACTGAAGATGAAATAATAAAAAGGGGAAAATGGGAAGAAACATCAGATTTTGAATGCGTTTTATCTAGTGAGTTTTAATAATATTTATCCACGGCCCCTATTGTTCACCCGTGATGATATTTTTACGATGACGTAATGCCGTGAAAATATTTCCACGGTGCATTACGTCATCATAAAAATTTTAATCAAAAATGTTACGGGCATCAGAACCGTGAAATATCTATTACGTATTTTCTGGCTTAAGGTGATACAAATCTGTTTATTAGCTTCAAAGATTTAAGGAGTATTTGCTTGAATCAAACATAGTTTAGTCCTTAATAAAAATTGATTATATAGTCAATTGATTTAGTGCAAATGGTACAGTTACTATATTTGATCCGCACAGTGTTATAAATTTTTAATATTTTAATGTGGCATTATTAAGGCCGTTCAAAGTTGATTATTAGGTTAACGTCAATATTTTTGGCTCAGGCACGAGGGAAATTTAAACAAACACATATATTTGATCAAATCTCATTGGTCAACCTTAATCGCATGTTTAATTTCCAGGGGAGATGACGTTAACCTAATAATCAACTTTGAATGGCCTAAGTAAACTTCAAATTATTTAAAAAGAAACTTAATATGTAATTATCACGCCACATTTATTAAATCTTAAAAATCTATAGCACAGCAAATGTTTACTATAGTAACTGCCCAGTGAATTGTGAATCACCAATTCAAAAAAATTCATATTTAAAATTTTATATTTTTAAACAAATAATGTGTGATGTTTTTTGAATGCCACTCATTGAATCAATTATTTAGAGGTGGGAACCTAAACCCTAAACTACAAGTTTAGGTTAGAGACATAAACCCTAAACTATATCCTAAACTCTAACCTAAACTTGTAGTTTCGGGTTTCGGTTCCCACCTCTACAGACTCTTTGTATTAAATTTACCGCACTCTTATTTTGACCTATTGTCTACTCTTCTTACTAAATAGCATTTTGTTCGTCATAGACGCGGTTATTGTTATTAGTATGCTTCATCACGAATTCGAGAGACAAGAAAAACTTTTTGTCGCTTGCATTAAACAAGGGGTAATCCTGTTAATCACATGGGATTCGGGAATGGAATTGTAAGTATGATGATAATTCTAAATATTGTTGTATAGACAAGCTATGAATATTCAGATTTCTATTATTTTAGAGATAACTTAATAAGAGATAAAAGATGCCCTCGCACCAGACTACACCAGAAACTTATTGATTATCAAGAATATCCCTCTTATTCCCCTTTTAATGATAAAATGCAATGGGTTTTATTCCAAGTTGGGTTATTTAGTGACGACATTTTAAAATATGACATATCCACTGTCACTACTGCTTTTAACAGTCCTAACCAATTTATTTTTATTAATGTTTCGGTTAAAACTGATTTTGCTAAAATAATTGCCGAATCAATTGTAACCCCCAAAGTTAAACCAAATTGTAATTATGTAGTCGGTGAATTCGTTTCACATACCTTTCTAAGTCACCTTTATAAAGTTTATAATCAAGGTATACATTTTACTTCAATATTATTTGATTTTATATCATGTATTTCCATTTTAAAAAGTAATATATTTCAATAACGATTAAAGGAATACCCTTTGAAAGGAGCATGCCAGCTGAAATAACTGAATTTGAAACAACAAATCAATTACGTATATCAGGAATAATATCTGCCCGTCCTATTCCAAAGATATTATATCCTGATTGTGACTCCTATATTCATAAAATAGGCATTGAGATATCTTTTCAGCATGGAGCTACAATTTATAAAATTTTAACTAATCATAAACAAGTAACTTTAAAACAATGGTTTTTGAAAATACTTGATCAAAAAAAAGATTAATTATGATAGTAATAATAATATTACTATCAACATATTGCTATTTAAATGTTTCGTACTTGATTTTAAATAGCTGTATAATATTTCACAATATGTTTATATTATTATGGTTTTGTATAGTGGGATTTTTTTTTTAAGAATTTAAGTAATTAAAAATAAATATGACTTCTGAACGAATAATAAATAAATATAATGTAGATGTTCTTCACATCTCGTTTGTTAGATTTATACCAATCTACTTCTCAAAGCTCTTAAAGTCGACGAACAAGATGTCACATGTACGTGTATTGTTATTTTAATAAAATCGTTCCTTTATTGATATTAACAAATAAAATGACTTTCTAGTATAAAATAAATAAAGAAATAAATATGCAAATAATCCTATTAACATTATAAACTTCGCAACAAAAATAATTACCAGTTAAAACGAGTGTTTGAATTTATTACAAACATTTCCTTAGTATTAATTTTAATAATTAATATTAATAATTTATAAATTTTTAATTTAATTTAATTTTAATTTTTTATTTGTTTACAAACTTTATTTAATATTAAATGCACTGTAATGCTACACAAAAACGAATATTAAATATTATAGAATAAAAAAAAAACTTCTACGTATAACTGGCTTAGTCATTGAAACTGAGTTGAAAATTTTTAATTTTAAGTAAGATGCGTCTATACTATTGGTTTATAGTAAAGTGCTTATCGAAAGCAAATAATATTTACATACCATAATTACATAGTAAATACTTATTTATAATGCTTATTTACTATCTTTTAATTTAATTTTATTCTATTCTTTTTGATTTAGTGAGTATAAGTATAAAGATATTTATTAATTTGCGGAATTATATATAATCAAAGAGTATAATATTTGGCGAATTATTAATCTTGCAAACTAAAAATTTTTAAAAAACTTAAGGATCTTTGTCTTGGTTTGTTTAAAAACAATATAAAAAAAATATTAATTTAATAAGTACTGTAAAAAGTTAAATAAATAAATATTATTATCACCGCTCACATTAACGTTAAACTCTAACATTAAACATTAAGGTTGGCAATTTAGAGTTAAAGATAGGAAACTTGGCACGTATAAATTTATTTGGCATGCCTATACGTAGCATGTCACTATCTGGCATGCCGTCTGTGCCACTTTGCACTATGTTTTTTTTTTTACTTATTAACGTTAACGATTTTGATTTTGTGGCATGCTATATGCATAGCACGTCTGTCTGTGTTTTTTATATCAGGTTTTTTAGGTAAAGATTGGCTGTTTTTATCTAACAGATAATAATTATTAGTAATAAGATATTTATATACAAAGTATTTACATATGATATATAATTTTTTTGTTTGTTAAGGTGATTTTCTTAGTTAATAAAATTTTAGTTTTGAATTTTTATTGTTAAAGTAGTATCCTTTGCCAATTGAATTTTGTTTTTTTTTTATAAAAATTTAGCAATCCTGCTAATGTTTTATTTAGCTAAGTTTTAATATACAGTAACTAAAATATTACTATATAGTATTATATTATCTAGTAACTAATTTTTTAAATATTAACTCACTTAGTTACTACATTAGTATTTATATACAATCTGCTATAGTAACTTTTATTTTTTTTACTTTTTGTTCTTTATATAATTTTAAAAAATATTTTATAAATAGTTTATTGCTAATTAAATTTTATTAATTTAGTTTATAAAATTATTACAAGAGTAATTTTTTACTATTTGTAATTATATAATAAAATTACAATTAAACATATATATAATTTTAGTTATTATCTAATTTAAATAGTTTACTATATAGATATTAGACTATTTAATTAGTTTTATAAATTATTTAAATTTATTAATAATATTGTTATAAAATGAGTTTTATCTATTTTATTCTTATTATTTTATTATTAGTATTTTATTATTATAAATAGTTAATTTCTTAAATATGCTTTATTTATCATCACTTTTACAAATAGTTTAGTAGTCAAAGATAGATTTAAGCTATACTATTAAATTTAGTTCAATTAGACCTTTCAAACAAATTATATTTTATATTTGTAGAATTCTTAGTTTTTGAATTATCTTAGGAACAACTTTAGTATAATTTACAGTTTTTATAGTTCTATAGTTCTTACAGTCTTATTACTAGTTATAAAAAACTATATAAACTCTTTTTTTTCTTTTTGCTTCAAATTAGGTTTTAACTTTTGCAATCTATTTAATATTAAAATTCTTTTAGTATAGAAACTAATAGATAGTCTTGTATTATTGATATTTTATCTTAAATAAAATATAATCTTTGCTCCTTTATTAACTTTATAATAAACTACTACAATGAAGTAATATTTTATTTAGATACTATTAAGAGTCTTTCTTCTATATCTTATATTACTTATATTGTATTAAGAAAGCTAATGCTTATAATATTTTAGTACCTTCTAGCAGAAAAACAAAAGAAATATTTTCAGAAAGATAATTAATTAAAAAAACTTTTAAAGAAGTTCTAAAGAAACCTTTTTTAAATGTTAAAGAAACCTTTTTTTTCTCCTTTGCTGATCTCTAAAGAAGCTTTTCTTAGAAACTTAAGAAGCTTCTTTTTCTTCTTTTAATGATCATAATTTACATTATATCTGGTCTATATTATATGAATATTGAAAAAAAGATCTATAATTTCTCATTACAGCAGATTTATAAAATACTCCAAAATTTGAAAATTTTGACTACTGATACTAAGTCATTTAATTGACTTATATATGTAATTAATAGAATATTTAACTATAAATTATTCTGATCTAAGTTATAATATACTATATAATATAAATAATTTAATGATAATACTTATGAATTTTTTTAGACAAAAATATTTCTAATTTAAAATTGGCAAAGAAAATTCAAATTACCTATAGATCATACAATTAAATGGAAGTCTTTATGAAGAAGTTTTAAATATTATATCATAAAAGAAGGTATTTATCTACCTAAATCTTACCTTACTTATACCAAAATACCAAGTCATTATTTAATTCTAAATAATTATATTGTAAAAACAACCTATGGAAAGAATGAAAGGACTGTTACCTGTTTTATTAATTATTATAATAACAAACCTCAATACAAAATAAAATTTGGTTTATGTGAAAATGAATATATATGTTCAGACCTTTCACTAACTGGTACAGCAAATACTTACTTAGAGACTTATTATAAAATAGTTGCAGATAAAGAGAATCCAAATATATATATTTATAATATATACTTATAAATTTTAAATTTTTAATAATTATCATTAAATCTATTTAATTATATAGTTGCAGCAACAATTACCGAATAGTAAAATGAATAGCATTTACTTATTTTGATTACAATTAATACAAGTTAAATTAGTACGAGAAAATTATATAAAAAAATACAAAATTATTAAACCATCTTCTGATATAACAAGACAAATACAATTCATATAAAATAAGAACTTTGGTATACCAGAAATGAATATAAATGAGTGTATGGTTTATATGGCGAGTTAAGTAGATTTGTCTACAAAATTTGAGTTCTGATTAGTTCGCATGACTTGTTTTTTATTTTTCACATATAATTTTGTCACATCCTATATATAGTATGTATTCAGGAAATCAATGTCGATAGGCTTTTAATTTTGCACTTTATCGACTTGAAAAAAATTCTTTTAATACCAGAAGCAAAGTGTTGAAATTATGTAGTGATTACAAATGTAATAACAAACGATAGTAAAAATATTATTTTTAGATACAAATATTGGTAGCCTGATTCAAATTCCTTAACTATCCACTGTAAATTTAAGAATTAGCATTTTTTTTCGTCGGATTTTTTATTAGGTTGATGATTTGATAATCATTGATCACCAAAGAATAAATTACAAGATAATTCTAACAACAATTTCGAGTTGATGAAATGACGAATAATGAAATTAACAACTAATGACAAAACTAATGACGAATCATAAATTTTATATGAATTTGGGCGTAATAAATTCAAAATACAATTTATAACGATAATAGTGTTCATGTGAAGTTAATGTTTGGTTCGATATCTATTCAGTTTCTTTTTTTTTCGACATGTCAATTCGATATTACTCGATGATTTGTGTAAATCACCCGTATATATCAGATATCCTATAGGTCTGATGAAGGAAATCTACTGACAATAAAAAGAATTATCGGCTTCAGATTCAATATAATGTAAAGCTAAAATTAAATTTTGTATGAGCTTGTTAGTTTTGTAGAGATAATTTTTTATAACAAATTGTCTATTTAATAGGTTTGTATTATTTCACAGATACTTAACTCACAGACATGCTACTTCACAGACAATCAATTTACAGACAAGCTTATTTCATAAATAACTAATTTTTAGACAAGCTCATTTCGTAGACAACTTATTTAATAGATAGCTCACTTCATAGACAAGTTTATTTTTATAAACTTCTCTAACCCTAACTATAACCCTAACTCTAATCTAATAAAAATAATATCTGTAAAATGAGTTGTATATAAAATAAATTGTCTATAAAATAAGCTTGTCTAGGAATTAGTTGTCTATGAAATAAGCTTGTCTGTGAATTGATTGTCTGTGAAGTAGTATGTCTGTGAGTTGAGTGTCTGTGAAATAAGTGCTACCTCTATTTAATAGAACAGTAGAAAAGTTCGTTGTCAATTAAAAAATTATTGTGTTTCATATGAATTGATGAATCTTAACATTGATGAAATAACAGTAATTTGGAAAAAATATATAATTCAGAATATCCAGAGATCGTTATAATGAAGCTTATCGACTGAGGGTCAACTGTATTTTGATATTTTATTAGTTAAATGAATTTCATCGAGAATTTTGTTAATCAACAGTATTTGTCAAGTGTCTGTAATTTCGTTACTCATCAAAGTTTCGACAGATGAAACCATCAGCGAAACCATTTCATCATAGCCAAAATAGCTTCGTCAGGCATCATTAGTAGCTAGGCTCCACGGCTATTGTAGGATTTGCTATAGAACTACTGTACATTAGATTTTATTCTAATATTTTAATACTCAAAATTAATATGAAAATTACTAAAATTACTAGCATTCTTAATCA